TGGTGTGAGAGCTAAGATAACTCCGTGCAGCTTGGAGCTGAGGGGACTCAGCTGAGGGTGACTTCAGAGGCTTTGCAGCTCTGCAGGGGGCACTGAGCTTTGTGTGTGTGTGGGGGTGCCTAAGTGTGACTCTTGGGCTCCTAGCCAGTGGGGAGCAGCTCTGTGTGTGTGTGAGAGTGAGAGTGGGCTGGGGGGGTAGGAGGGAGGTTGGCAAGGGTGGAAGCCGTGTCGGGTTACCCCCAAAGCAAGGTAAGCACAGGCTTACTTGTGCTTGCTTACCACTCTGTTGTGAACAATTTCACAGTGTTCCACCACATTAAAGGTTCTGTGTCTGTGTCTGGCCGCCATCTGTCCCTGGCAGCCCTGCAGCAGCCCTTCGACAGAGCCAAAGCCTCTTTTCAAACTGAAATCCCTGACAGGGACATCTTGAACACTTTTCTGCAGATTAGTAAGTAAGCACAAGCCAGCCCCTGCTTGCCTGGCTTTCTGGGAACTCCATCCCAGGGTGGAAGGAAGGGGGGGCGCCAGATGGCTCTGGGCAGGATGATGCCACATCATTTACCGCCCCCTCCTGTGCCCTTGTTCTGCAGATGTTTTCACACCAGCGACAATCCGCCGAGCATCTCCTCTGTCCAAGGTACAGTTCTGCGTGCTCGGTGGACTCACAGCCCATTTGCTGCCGCTGGGGCGGGCTGACACAGGGACACACATGACCCCAGAGGTGACGGTGGCCTATTCAATGACGACTGGACACAGGGCCCCCCTGAGGCTGCCTACAGCCTCTGGGAAGGCTTTCTGGAAGAGGGAACATTTGCAGGCAGCTCAGAAGGACCAGTCCCTGTTAGAAGGCGTTCCGGGGCAGATGTGCTGCAACGGGGCCTACTGCACACCCCCTTGGCTTAGACCTCCTACCCACAAGCGTGACTCTGCACATCGAGCCCAGCTGCCAGGGCTGTGTCCCCAGCCCCTGACTGCCCCACTGGGAGCCCTTCGCTCGCTCTGGGATCCTCCTGCTCACACAGGCCAGCCCTGCCTGCCCTTCTGGTAACTGTGGTCCGAGGTCAGCTCTTGGGCAGAAGGGCAGTGGGGACAGGGAGGTGTGCTGCCCCCTGGTGGCCAGGCTGTGGCCTTGCCTGGCTCCCCTAGCTCCCTGTCAGAGGACGCCAGTCTCCTGGTGACCCTCTTATGTTCTCAGTGCACCAGGCCCAAGGAACCTGGTAGACTGGTTAACCACAGGGTCAGCAGTTTGAAATCACCAGTCGCTCCTCGGAAGAAAGATGGGGCTTTCTACCCTTGTGAAGAGTCACAGCCGCAGGAACCCACAGGGGCAGTCCCACTCTGCCCTGTTGGAGCCCACTGTGGCATTGCGTGGTGTGTGTGTGTGTGTGTGTTTTGGCCCCAGGCACTGAGGAACTTAGAGAAGCAATTTCATTTCTCTAGTAGGGGGAACCAGAGAAGGCCTCTCTCCCACCTCCCTCTTCTCTCCTTCAGACAAGCCTTTCCCAGCCAAGGAGCCTCAGGCAGAGGCCAGAGGCCAGATTCTCCTCAGACCCCACCCCCTGTTCCCCTTAAAAGTACAGGCTTCTGCCCTGGCGGTCAGGCCTCGGGGCAGAGGTGCCTCATCCCCGACAGGATCAGCGTGTGTTCTCAATGCGCTGGCCCTGCCCGATCTTGTCCCCAGATGAGAAGGTATCTTACGGGATTTCATTTGATGGCTGTGGGGACAGAGCCTTCTGAGTAACAGACAGCCACACGGGGGCCTGAATAAACCCAAAGCCCTCCGCCTTACCCTGGACAGGTGCCCCTGCCCAGAAGCTGGGGTGGGGGTCTGGGGTGGGCGGGTGACCGGCTGCAGGCGGTGGAGCTGGTCCAGATGACGTTTGTCCTGCTCCTCCCCCTCTGGAGATGACCATCTGCAACAAGCCCTCCAACAAGACAGCCCCCGAGAAGAGTGTGTGGACGGCGCCCCCGCCGGCCAGCGGGCCCTCCCCGGAGCTGCAGGGCCCCAGGTCACGGCGGAATGGGTGGAGCTGGCCCCCCCACCCGCTGCAGATCGTGGCCTGGCTGCTGTACCTCTTCTTTGCTGTCACCGGTTTTGGGATCCTTGTGCCGCTCCTGCCTCACCACTGGGTGCCTGCTGGCTACGCTGTATCCTTGGAGAGTGCGGGGCTGATGCAGGGAGGGTGGTGCTGGTGGTGGTGGTGGCGGTGGTGGTGGTGTGTGTGTAGCTGGGCTCAGCGAGCAGGGGTGGGCGGGGCAGGCCAGCCCAGGCCGGCCCTCTCTCTGCCACATGGGCTTGATACTTTCCTGCCCACCGCCGGCCCCCACCTGACCACCCCTGGCTGCCCCCGGGGATGCGTAGAGAAACTGAAAGCACCCTGGGGCGGGCCTGTGGCTGGCCAGCCCAGCGACCAGCGCTGCCCCCGGAGAACCACCCGTAGGCTGCTGTCAGCTGTTGTGTCCAGAGTGCAGCAAAGGCAGAAGGAAGGAGTGGTTGTCCTGCTTCTCAGAGGGCAGTCCCCTAGGGTTCTTGACACCGTCCACGTGCAGGACAGGTGTCTGCCATCTGCCCAGATGCTGGCCCAGGACTGCTGAGAAGCTCAAGGGTTTTAGGAGAAGAATCAGGCCCTTTTGTGGTGAGGTGGACTGTGGCAAGAGGCAGGG